CCGGCTCCGGGCCTGGGAGAGGAGGATGGGGTGTGGGGATGGGGGCCGGGGGAGGGGGCACTCGGGCTGTTATACTCCCAGTGGCATTTGAGAGGCCCTTTTAGGGAAGAAGATGCTCAGGTGGGTGTGCACGTCCGTCAGTGGGATGTGCCTCACCCCTCATCCGTCCTGATCCGGCTGGGCCTAGACTGAGAAGCAGCTGCCGGGCTGTGGAAGAACCACGCGCCCCAGAAAGGGATGAGGCCTCAGGAAGGGGAGGGGAGAGTCATTAACACTGGCTGGGGGAGCTTGTCCCAGGCCAGTCGGATCCCGGGGAGGACCCCGCCGGGGAGGCAGGGGCATCTCCATGAGCCCGGTTGCAGGGCTTGATGATGAACACGACCCAGCAGGGAGACAGTAGCTGCGTCTGGGGCCCCAGGGTCACTGGCTCTGCGGGGCCCGCCTGCCGATGGGAGGAGGCGCAGGGCCCAGGCAGGGAGGGGCCGACTTGAGGGGTGTTGCAGAGGCCAGGCCCTGGCTCCAGTCCCGCCTGGACCTCGTCCCAGCTGTGTGACTGTGAGCAGGCCCTTCTCCCCTCTGACTCCCTGCTCCTCGTCCACAAAGCCGAGGAGGAACGCCCCCAACATGTGCAACTTGGCCTTGGTGTTTCTTAGCCGCCAGCCGGCAGGCAGGCAGGCAGGCAGGCAGGCAGGCAGGCAGGCAGGGCTCTGAGCCCCTGGCCGCCTCGGGCCTCCTCCTCTGTCCAGGAGGCCGGAGGATGCGGTTGTGGGCACTGATCGCACTGGCTCCAGCTCCCAAGACTCTGGAAGCCGCCAGGTCAGTTCCAGGATGGGTGCTCTGGCCATGGGAACTTGGGTCCATCCCAGGAATGAGAGGGCAGAGCTCTGCCAAGCTCTCTCTGACCCGGGACGGACAGTGGGCCCTGCCTGCCAGTCCAGTGCCAGCGGCTGCCAGTCAGGGTCTACAGCAGACAGTGGTCTTCCACCTCCGAGGGCTGGAAAGGGGAGCCAGGGAAGCCTGCAGGCTGTAAGCAAATGTCTCCCCAAAAGACACCTGGAACTGAGCTGAATTGGGAGCTCCCTGCGGCGGCTGGACACATGGACTGGGCAGGAGGGGGGCCCCTGCTGGGAGTGAGGAGAGGGCCTCACGTCAAGCTTGGCAGCCAGATGCAGGGCCAGGGGGCTGGGGCAAGATATCGGCGGCTGGGGCCATGGCTCCAGGGGCCAGCCTGCAGCCCCTCAGAGCCGTCTGAGATGCCCGGTGGGGAAGGGGGGCCCCGCGCAGACACAGCAAGCAGGCTCAGGATTGGTGGGGGCACGCCCCCCGCGCCCTTGTAGACGCAGCCCCCCCGGCTGTCCTCAGAGCTGGTGCCTCCCGGGAGTCCGGACAGGCAGCCCCCTTGGGGAGAGGCTGGCTCCCAGCACTGCCCTTGAGCGTGACCTTGAGCCCCTCTGCCCTCACTGATGACTCCAGCCTTTCTTTGACACCGGGACTCCAGAGTGCTGGGCTCCGCAGCCCCAGGGCTGGATGGTTTAGGACGTTGTGTGTAGACGAAGGCGCCACCCGAGGGGAGTGTTCCCTGGAGTGAGATCAGGTGGGGTCCCCGTAGGCGACCAAAGGGACCGCTGGCTGCCCCCACAGACGCCCATGGGCTCAGGCCGGGGTGGCCTGCCTCCTGCAGCCTCCTTCCACTCCCCGGGGTGCTGGGGAAGCCTGGCCCCCTGATGCCCCAGCTCCCCTCCTCCACCCGGGCAGCGCCAGGCTGAGACAGAGTGCTTCTCCCTCCATGGTGCCCTGGGGTCTCTGAAGAGCCCCCCACTTTGCAGCCCGGGCATCACAGATGTGGGGAGAGCCCTCCACTCTTCTGCGCCCCTGTTTCCCTAACTTGAGCTCCAGCCAGGCCACCCCTGGCTGGATGGAGGTGGGGTCCAGGGGTGGGAGCGGGGAAAGCTGAGCTGGAGGAAAGGTGGCCAGCGGCCCAGGTAAGGACAGGGCTGTGCCTGACTCGGGGAGACGCCCCCCGCCCGCCGAGGACAGCTTCCTGCCCAGCCGGCTCCACGGGGAGGGCATCATCCCGGAGATAACACCGTGGAACCCAGGTCAAAATCTCCAACGGGGGGAAGCTGGCAGTGCGGCCAGGGGCACGCGGGCAGCCATCCAGCAGGGCGGTGCCCCAGCGGGCCTGGAGCCAGCGCCTCTTCCTGATGTGGGTCCTGGGCTCGGGGGCCTCAGGCGAGGACAGACTCCTCCTGGGGCCGGGAACGCAGGTATCCTCGCGGTGGGCACGCGTGTGTGGTCGTTGTGCTCTGTTTCCCACCAGTACTAAGCCTGGCGACCCTCGTTAAGGGTCCCGAGAGGAAAGTGAGGCCCGCTGGGTGATACACCTGTCAGCGTCACACCAGGTAAGGGTGCAGAGAGCCAGGCAGAACGCTGCTGGCTCGGCGTGCCCAGGGACGCAGTGGCACGGGGCTCAGAGAGTGTTAGGCGCTCAGGCGTGTCCGACTCTTTGCGACCCCGTGGACTGCATCCTGCCAGGCTCCTCTGTCCCTGGGATTCTCCAGGCAAGAATGCTGGAGTGGGTTGCCATGTCCTCCTCCAGGGGATCTTCCCGACCCAGGGATGGAACCCTGGTCTCCCACATTGCGAGTAGATTCTTTCCCGTCTGAGCCACCAGGGGGCCCAGGGAGGTCAGGAGCAAACCCAGACTTGTGCGGCTCGTGTGTGGTCGTGAGGAGCAGCCCCCCTTGGGTGTGACACCAAAGTCCACGTTTGTGACCTCTCCAGTGTTTCCCGCAGCTTAGCCCGAGGGCTGGCCGGCACAGGGCCTGGCAGGGGTCGACAGACGCTGGGCAGGCAGCCTGCTTCCTCCCTGGCCGTGGGGAAGGCCGAGACGGGGGGCCAGGGGCGAAGGCAGCCGAACAAAGGGCTTTTATGTGCGGGAGGGTTTCTGGCCGGCCCGTCTGCACGCAGGATTGGGGTCATCAGTTTGGCAGAGCAGGCATGGGTTGGTTCAGGCTGCCTGCTGGGCACAGCATCCCGGCTGGCGCGGGGGCTTGTCTGCCGGGTCACGTCTCCTCAGCCGTGTGCTGAGGTCATCGGGGCTGGGGAGGTCAGAGAGAGACAGAGAGAGCCTGACCAGCATCTTTCTGGGGTGCGGGCAGAGCCAGAAAAGTCTCCCCCTCTGAGACTCCCCCTCATCTCGCCCTGCCGTGCCACGACTCGGAGCGGGGGCCTGGCGTTTGCCCCAGGTGGGACAGAAGGTGAAGACCCTGCTGCTCGGTGGCCCATGAGGGGCACCCAGCAAACCCAGAGAAAGCCTACAGCCACAGGGCCTGAGCGGTGGGCCCGGGGTGAGGCCTGGCGAGCAGGACTCTTTTTCCAGAGCTACTGACTTGCCAGAGCCATGCAGAACGTGGTGGGCTGGTAGGAACAGCACCCCCACCCCTGCCCTGGCGCAGCCAACATGGGGCCCTTGCCTGTGCGTGAGTTGAATCAGTCATAAAGGCAGTCTGCTTTTTATGATCACTGTGCTCCAGAAATTCTGCAAAGTGTTCTGGTTAAAGTGCTTGCCTGTGTTAAACCATTGCTGTGGATACGGTCGCTGATGTGCGTGTTTTCATGACGCACCTTTTCATAAGCATCATGTCATCCGTGGAATTGAACTGAACTCCCTGCAATCTGGCTGCCCTGGCACCTGTGGGTCTCAGCTCCAAGCACATGTTTGGAGGGTTAAGTCGGTGACGGCTCAGCACCCTCAGGACACATAAGGTGCGTTTGGGGTCTCTGCTGTCTGCCATGCACCTACTCCTGTGTTTGGTTGGTGGATTGAAATAATCAGTTCCTGCGCCGTGATTATAGCGCTGGGAACGATAGAAACTGACTCACCTCCATTCTGCGTGACCGCGTGCAGCTTTTATCCGGATCTAAGGTCTCAAACCATGGGATGAAAAATGCAGATTCTGAGAGAAATGCTTGCACTTGGTGGGTGCACATTTTTGTTCAGACATAAAATATTTCCATTTCATGATTAAGAGTGAGGTGTTCAGCAGATATCTGCACACCCACGTCTACAGCGGTATTTTTCACAGTGTGTTGTTTTCAGTCGCTCAGGCATGTCCAGCTCTTTGTGACCCCAAGGACTGCAGTACACACCAGGCCTCCCTGTCCATCACGGAGTTTGCTCAAACTCATGTCCTTTGAGCTGGTGATGCCATCCAACCGTCTCATCCTCTGTTGTCCCCTTCTCTTATGATTCCACATATAGGAGGTCCCTAGAACAGTTGAATCCATAGACACAGGAAGTAGGACTATGCGGGGGAGGGCGTTGCCAAGGCCTGGGGAGTTAGAGTTTAGTGAGCACAGGGCTTCAGTTTGGGAAGATGAGAAAGTTCCGGAGATGACGGTGGGGGTGTTTGCACAACAATGAGAACGGACTCGATGCCACCGCACTGTGCACTTAACAGTCCAGGGGGTAAATTCTGTGCTGTGTCAGTTCGGTTCAGTTCAGTTGCTCAGCCGTGTCCGCCTCTTTGCGACCCCATGGACTGCAGCATGCCCGGCCTCCCTGTCCATCACCAACTCCCAGAGTTTACTCAAACTCATGCCCATCGAGTCAGTGATGCCATCCAGCCTTCTCATCCTCTGTCATCCCCTTCTCCTCCTGCCCCCAATCCTTCCCAGCATCAGGGTCTTTTCCAATGAGTCAGCTCTTCGCATCAGGTGGCCAAAGTATTGGAGTTCCAGCTTCAACATCAGTCCTTCCAATGAACACCCAGGACTGATCTCCTTTAGGATGGACTGGTTGGATCTCCTTGCAGTCCAAGGGACTCTCAAGAGTCTTCTCCAACACCACAGTTCAAAAGCATCAACTCTTAGGCTCTCAGCTTTCTTTATAGTCCAACTCTCACATCCATACATGACCACTGGAATAACCATAGCCTTGACTAGACAGACGTTTGTTATGTGTATTTTACTATAATTATGTGTCACGTATAAAATGACTACAAGTTAAAGGCAGCGGCCATGAAGTTCCCCATGGGCGCCGGGGCCAGTGCTACCTGCTCCCAAAGCCCCGGGGCGCCCAGCGCTGCAGCAGGACTTGGGCTCTGCATGCATGGCCCACCTGCTGGGGACCCGGCGCTGCTCTGGGAGGTCTGTACGGTGATGGACCCGGCCGGGAGGTGCCCAGTGAGCTGCTGTCTGGGAGGGCGATCGCGGTTGGGGGTGACCCAAGACACTGGCGTGGGCTTGTCCAGCAGCTCTGCCTTCAACCTGCCGCAGTGGAATGGATACATTCCCGCACTTCGGTCACTCTCCACGCCAGTCTGCGCGAGGACATTGCCTTCGTTAAGCCCTGTTCTCGGCGCCCCCTGAGACAACGGCATGGCCTCTGGCATCTCTGTTGCCTCGGTAACGGGTCCTCTGCCCTCCAGGCTTGCGGTCCTGCTTGGGACACGCTCACACGCGATGCTTCTCTCTGCAGAGGCAGCTGGGTTTGCTTTGCTCGCCTTCGTTCGGGACCTTCGCGTCTGTGTCTCTGGATGAGGCTGGCCTGTGCTTGTCCTTCCTCCTAGCTGGGGGGTCTTCCATTTCTCAGCCCCCTCCCCTGCCCCGGCCCCTGCCACGCTCTCACAGCTCAGCCGTCTAAGCCTGTCGAGGCTCCAGGACCGAGGTGCGGGCCATCGCTGGGAGTGCCGCTCCCGGGGTCTGGGTGGCCTGAGCCCCTCTGTGTAGCCTGGGGGTCCTGGGGTGGAGGTCCTGTTGTCTGAGGATGGTGCCCACCAGCAAAGTCACCAAGCGGGCAAAGGCTTCCTCAGTTTGCCAGGCATGTGGGGGCGTAATGGGGGGCTCCTGCAGCTGAGCTGCAGCCTGGCGCCCCACGAATCCCCGGTCTCTTCCTTCACGAGGCCCAGCTTCCTAATTCACCGCCACTGGCTCAACGAGCAGCCTGCACTCCTGGGCAGACAAGGCAGAAAGTTCTTTTCCTTCCATCCTGGCTCTGCTGGCCGGCTGTTCCCTGATCCCCACCTCCGGCAGAACCCAGAGGGGTCAGCCGAGGAAGGCGGGTTCAGGACACTGCGAATCTCCTTTGTCGTGTGCCCTCCCGGGTGGGACGTGGCCTGTGGCCTGTGGCCTGGGACAGGGTGGGACGGGTGCGGCGGCCTCCCCGTCCCCACCTCCTCTGCGTCCAGCCCGCGGAGGCTGGAGGTGCAGGGAGCAGGCCGGTGCCTGCCTCTGCCGGCCGCTTACTGCCGTCTCCGCAGCGCCCTGGGCTGCCCTGAGCGGCCGTCAGGGTCCCTGGCGTGGCCTCCATCCCAGCCATTGCATTCGTGGGCACGTGAGAACTTTCCAGAAGCACTGTTGGGGAGAGGCCCCATCTGCGGAGAGCACTGACCCCAGGGCAGCTTCCCCATCCTCTCTGATGCTGCCCCAGCAGGGTGCCCCGGGCCAGGCGTCCCTCCAGCGTGGGGAGCTGACCTGACGGTGTGAGCCTGGCCCCCTCTAGCGCTGACCATTGCGGGCACCAGCGACTGCTCTCTGTCCTCCTCTCTGCACACCTGGGCCCGGGACCCAGGGCTGCCGGGATCCAACCGGGAGTCACAGGCCTGCGTCCCGGCAGGACCACTCGGTCTGGAGATCCGGCTCTGGGGGCAGGTTTGGGGGTTGCCTTGACTTCTGGGGGAAGGGAAGTGCAGCTTATGTCCTAACAGCAGAGCCCTCCCTGGTTGTTGAGCCCCCAGCCCCGCCATCCTCCCGCTCCACTATGGATTCAGATGCGTGGTGGGTGCTCCTGTGCAGATGGTGGAGCTGTGGCTTTCCAGCTTTCTTTGGAAGGTGGGGTTTGGGACTCCCTGGGGGCCCAGTGGCCAGGATTCTGCGCTCGCTTAGCAGAGGGCTTGGGTTCAATCCCCGGTCGGGGAAAGAAGGCCCCACGTGCCGAGTAGCGCAGCCAGTATAAAAAGAAAGAAAGAAAAATACGCAAGAAATTCATAATCTGAATCTATCATAGAATGTGGGCTTCGGCGGGCTTCTTTGTCCTTCACTCTGGGTCCTGGTTACTAGTTTCTGCAAAAGCTGCTGTCAAAAAGCAAAAGCGGCTCAGATAAGGCGGTGACTCAGCCCCGGGCACATTCGGTCTCCTGATTAGATCTGAGGGGCTGACTGCCTCCAGATTCCCAGATAGGGTAATCCCTCCGGCCCTTTGGTTCCATATCTAAGGAAACAAAAGATGACTTGGAGCAAGGATTCAGGCAGGAGGGGTGACCCAGAAAGCTCAGAGGGGGAGGGGAGGGGGAAAGTCACCAGCAGGGGCGCGAGTCACCCCGGGGTAACTGGGGCGCAGCCGGCCAGGGCCCCCGAAGTGACTGCGCAGGGCACTCCTGAGAACTGCCCCGGTGGGCACCGAGGAAGCTGGGTGTGTGCCCAGCCATCCCGCCCCTTGCTGGCTGAGGTTAACTCCGCAGCACTGGGGTGGCCCTGCACACACACACAGGCCAGGTGCAGCCCTGAAGCCACACGTGTGTGCAAGGCTGACCACGGGGGCTGCCATGACCTCCTGCACGAGCTGAGGGCAGAAGGCAGGGTGTGGTCTGCCATTGGGCCACTCCGCTACCCTCTGGAGACCTCATCAAAACTCACATAAACAGAGCTGGGGGGACATCCCAGCTCCCACGCGATCCTGTCTTGGGGTAACTTCTCATGCCCCCAGCATCAGGGTGTGCTTGCTGGAGTTTCATGAATCACACAGACTCATGAAACCGGCCCCCAGGTTAAGATTCAGAACCCAGGGACTTCCCCGGCGGCCCATTGGCTGTGACTCTGTGCCTCCAATACAGGGGACACGGGTTCGATTCCTGGTCGGGGAACTAAGATCCCACATGCCATGCGTGTGACCAAAAAAAAAAAAATCCAGAACCCAAGAACCCTTCAGAAGTCCCCTCCGTGCCACCTCCCAGTCCTAACTACCCTGAGGGTCCCGCTCCCAACTTCTAGCCGCACAGATTACTTTTGCCTGTTCCCGAACCTCGTAAAAGGGGCCTCCTCTGCGTGGTGTTTGCGCCTGACTTCTGGGGCCACGTTCCTGAGCGATGTCCAGGTTGTCCCACGTGGCTGGGAACTGTTTGTTTTCACCGTGATACCGTCTGCAGCTGTGCGGACGCACCCTGACCCCCGTATCCATCCCTCTGCAGTGGGCATGCGAACGACTTCCAGTTTGGGGAAACAAGGGCGGCGCTGGTGGGACCGTCTTGTCCGGCGCTGGCGGACACAAGCCCGCCTCCTCCACAGGGGAGTTTCGGGTCATCCAAGTTCAAGTGCTCAGCTGTAGCCAATTCTTCCAAATGGTTTCTGAGATGACCGTACTGCGTGAAGCTCCCACCCGCGGCGGACAAGGATTCCAGCTGCGGCTCCTCCCGCCCACACTGCAGACTTGCGTCTTCGTCCTTCTACCAACCTAGCGGGCGTGGGGCTCATCCACAGGCACCACGTCCTTCTGACCCCTGCCTGCCTCCTCCACGCTTCAGAGATGAGACAGAACAGAGGCCCAGAGAGGGAGTCCCCGGCCCCACATCACACAGCGTGCGGGCAGCCGGCTGGGGCTTGAGCCAGGCTCTCCGTGGGAAGCCTTCTGCCAGCCAGCAGGAGACTGGTGGAGGGGACGTGGGTGCAGGGGACGTGGGTGGATGCTCGGCAGATTTCCGGACATGAGGTGGTGATCGGGACTGAGGCCCACTCCTCCCCTGGAATCCATGCAGCCAGCCGGGTGATGACAGCTGCCCCCGCCTGTCCTCTGATCAGCCGACAGGAGGGCACTGTGCCCCGTCTTCCCAGGGCAGGACCAGGGGAGGTTGGGTGGACAACACCCCAGCCCTGGCTGCTGAGACCCCGGCAGGGATCCTCAGGGCAGTGCAATGGTTTGCAGTCCAGCCTCTGCCCCTCCTAGCAGCATCCCAGGACCTCTGACCACGACCTCCAAGCCTCTCTAGTTCCCTGTCCACTCAGCAGGCCACAGGCATGAGCCCTGCATGAGTCAAGGCGGACAGCGCGCCTCCTCCAGCGCCCTCAGGCCCACGGGAGACTCGGACAGCGGGGCCTGGAGGCCGAGGGGGGCTGGGGTTCTGCCTGCCAGCAGCCCCTCCCGCCACGAGTTGGCACGTGGCTTTGCTCAACTGCAGCCAAGCTGCTGAAAGAGCCCAGAACACGGCCTCTTTGTTTGATCCCAGGTCTGCCTGCTCCCTGAGACTGAAGTTGTGGGCCCGGGCTCGGGCTGGCCACCCACGGCATGACCTGTGATGAGAGGAGAGCCGGGACACCCCTCTGTGAGACGGGGAGACACAGAAGACAGGAGGGTGCCTGAAGAACTCAGTCTGGGAGGACCGGAACCCAGCCCAGTGCCCGCCCCTCGTCCACCCTGGTGGCCCCTGGGTCTCTCCCAGGGTGTCCGTCAGTGCCGCCGCCTTCCTTAGACGTCCCCAAGCTGCCCCGTCCATCTGTGTCTTCCACGGAGTTTTGCTGATCTGCTTCTGGGCAGCTACGTTCCCACTTACGAGGCATATACTTGTGAGCAAAGCAGTCATGCTCTTGACCCTCGGGGAGTCTGCTGTTCAGTGGCAAAGGCTCATGAGCCTGTTGACAGTTACGGCACACAGAACAGTGCCTGGAGACAGGCCCTGCAGCCCCACCGCCTGGGATGGGGTGGACGGAAGCCAGGAGGGCTCCCTGGAGGAAGTGGTGTTTCGGCTGAGACGTGAAGGCTGGGAAAGAAGCAACAGGTAAGGAGGTGGGGCTGGTGTGGAGAGGGACGGTGTTTCTGGCAGGTGTCACAGCACAAGCAGGAGCTGGGAGTTGCAGAGAGCAGGGTGTGGACAAGTGAGTGGATACAGCCCCACTGGCGCAGAGAGGAGGGGAAACTGTGAGAGGAGAGTGAGAAACGCTCGGCTCCTACTGAGGGTAGATGCCGATCAGAGCCCAACCACTCGAGAGCCTTGCCGGCCTGGCCTCGGGCGTGGGCTTTGCTCCAGGGCCCCCAGGGAGCCATGGAAGGGCTTAAAGGCGGGGAGTCATATGGCCAGACTGTGCTTTTACAAATCAGTGATTGCAGAGAAGAAAACAATATTTTCGAGGGGCGAAAGGCCTGAGAGGAAACTTCACTGAAGAGGAGATGCAGATGCCTGGCAAACAAGTCAGAATCCTCATCCTCATTAGTGACCAGGGACATGTAAATTAGAACCACGCTGAGACACCATTTCACACATACTACACGGGGTGGGTGAGGAGGTGCACTACACGGGCCAACGTTAGCAAGGGTGGGTGAGGAGGTGCGGCGCCCCGGCCGCCGGCAGCAGCTGGCGGGAGCCTGTGCGGGTGCAAACACTTGGAAACAGCA